TAGGACTAGTCTGTTGTTGATTATTATCTTAGTTCTAGTTTTACAAGATGGTTGTACAGAAGTTCTTTTTGCTTGAGAGGGTAGTATGTTCTCCATAAGATGATTATTTCTGCCAGGAGCAATCTCAGTGTTCCAAAGTGACCTACAGTTTAGAGCAATGACTGGAGACTTCTGAGTATTCATTGGTAGTTGAGTGACCTTGTAAAGCTTATCTTGATGTCCTCAGTTTCAACATCAAGATAAGAAAATGAGATAAGTTACATAAAATTAGCATTTCTTTGTTTGTTTGTTTGCTTTTGAGATATTCTCTTGTAGTTTAGGCTGGCCTTGAACTCACTGTGTATCTCAGGCTGGCCTTGAACTCTTGGCAATCCAGCTACCTCAGGCCCCCAAGTGCTGCGATTCCAGGTGTGTGCCATCACAGTTGGAAAAAATAGTGTTAATGAAACTTGCTTTGTGAGTTTAAAGACAGATGTGGTGGTGCACAGCTCGAATCCCCGCAACTGTAGTGGGTAAGGTAGGAGAATCACAAACTCAAGGTCAAAATGAGCAACTGAATGACATAGTAAGAACACATTTCAGAATAAAAAGTGCTGTAATTGTCACTCACTATGAACTCTCTGGGTTCAATCCCTGGTATCGGGACAGAGGGAAGATTTTCAATTTGCCAAGAGAGCAAGTAATTAAGAGGGTACAATTTCTGAGAACAAACACGAGTTTGAATGAAAGGGGACTTGAGAAAAAAGAAGGGTCAGTGACTTCTCAGAGCTAGAAGGGGAATGAAGAAGGATGGAGGAAACATGAGGGAGCTTAAATGGAGCAGAGGCTTCCAAGGCCTGTTCTGCAGTGGAGAGAAGACTCCCATCTGCTGAGCAGTGCAGTAGTGTGGCAGAGGGGATCACTATTCACAGAGGGAGCTGAGGACAACTGTGGGCTGGGAAAGGTAGGAAGGACTGGAGCAGGACAAGAAGTCCCTGCTGGGCCCTTACACTTAAGTCAGCAAGAGATGCAGAACAGTTTTTCCACTAACAGAAACCAGTGTGGTGCTTGGTCCTTTTACTGTAGTTGGTGCTTAAGATCATGGTGTTGAAAGTCAGACTAATAGGGTTTGGCTTTGAAGACCACATCTACTCTGAATTGAAAAAATAATGATTTCTGTGGACACCTAGAAGAATACCTGGCATATCAGTAAGAATTGTGTCAATTTTTTTCCTAACAAAATATGAGAGCACTTAGAACAACCACAAATAGCCATGATATGAAGTGGGAAACTGAGTCTGAAGAATGCCCCAGCAGGCCACTGTCTGTGTCTGGTGCACTAACTAGGAAGAGAGTGTAGAAAAAACATGCAAGAAGAAAGATGCAACATTTAAACTGCTATCAACTGAGAAAGTGCTCAGAGTGATAATAACTCTGAAAGTTAAATATTGCCATAAAATATCACAGGTACCCAACCATGCCTCCATTTTGAGGTCCTTTTAGAGCAAGTGCCATGTGCTGCCCATGCTTAGAGAGGGAAGGAAACAGCAGCTGACAGACCACACAAACCTCTGTGTCTGTGTGAACCCTAAATCTTAGCAGGTGAATGTTTTACCTCAAAATATGTTACAAAATTTGTCAGCCTGTTGGTTTTTTTGTACTAAAACTTTTGCTTCTTTAAATTTGCAATTCTACGTGTTTATGCAGCATGAGGAAAAGGAGCAATTCACTCTAACTGTACAGACAACTCCAGAGGGCAGAGGTGCAAATGTAGAAGCATGAAGACATGGGGGAGTGAGAGAAGTGGGATTGGACGCACTGTGGTTTTGATTGGCATTTTTGTCATAGTTGGTGGTGTTGAGCAATTTTTCATATGAATTTTGACCACTTCTATCTTTTCTTCTGAGAAATGTCTACTCATAACATTTACTCATTTTAAATGGATTTCATCTCTTTAAGTGTACTGGATACTGACCCCTTATAAAATTAGTAGACAAATATTTTCCCTCAGCCTGTTGATCATCTCTGTATTTTGTTCTTTGTTTCCTTGCATGATACAGTGTCCTTTGTGTAGTTTTGTTTGTAGTATGTTCTTTCAGGATCACATAAAAAATCTTTGCTTTTATTTATATCTTGGAATTACTCCCCTATGTTTCCTTTTCATGGTTTCATAGTTTCAGGGTAATATTTAGGTGCTGGATACACTTTGAGTTGGTTTTACACATGGTGGCTGGTTACAGCCATGTAAAATCCTGCATTTCAAAGATTTATAGAAAATAAACCTGAATAAACTACATTTTTTCATCCTTTTTGACAAAAGAAAAAAATCATAACACAGTGAAATATTTACTTCTAAAATCTCTTTCCAAAAATTCCTCTTTGCAAGAAATATGTTTTTGGTTACAACATCGTCAACACCTTGAAAGAACAAATTACTGTGCATGTATCCATTATTGTGCTTTAACATCTGCTAATCTGCATGCTATTCTGCATTTCATACCATGAAAAAAGTGAATCAAACTGGAACACATGACAATCTTTTTAAAAAAAGAAAATGACAATACTTAATGTTTCCTAACTTCTAAGTAATTTGTCAAACTAATCAAAATGATCACTTATAATCTCATTAAAAGTGGAGGTGAACAATTTAGTAAATGTTTTCTTTTGGTGGAATTAATACTGTTTAAATATTACAATGACTGTGACACCAACCACTTGAAGTAAGGTCAGGCTTCTAGGTTAAGTGCAGACCTACCACAATTTGGCCCTCATTTTAGCCTAGGCAGAGGTGCAAAGGGTGGAAGGGAGAGCTGACAAGGGGGAGCAAATACAAGTAGAAGTTTGAGTACTTTATTTTTGCTATAAATGTTCCTCTTTTCACCACCTATCATGCTAGTGACCCATTTTTCAGGTCAATGCTAACAGATATCCAAGCTAGATAAGCTAGTTGCTGGGAAGGATTGTTTCCAAGCACTCTATCTTCATTTTCCAAAGAGTTAAACTTTGATGCCTTGACATGCCTTGTTATAGGCAGAGTGTACTTTCTATCCCAGTCACAGGGATGTCCTGGTAAATTCCACTAGCTAGTACAATCAGAGCGAATATAATGTATGTCTGTATTCAAATAGCAAATCTACTGCATAGTTCAACTTGCAAGGGATCATCCAGAATGAGAAGAACTCTTGTGCGGAGCCAAGTAGATTCCCAGTCACTCCTAAATAGACCCTGAGCCTCCAACTAATGTCAAAATGGAAGTGTTACTGTAAACCCCTCTAGTGTTAGGCTTATTTGTGGCACAATGTGATCCATCCATAAAAGCCCTTAGAAGAGAGAGAGAAAAATTTAGAAATATCCTCTCTCTCTTCATAGTCAAGTGTGTGAATCAGGGGCTGTTACTGAGATGAGGGGAGGAACATACACATCTGTCCTCAATCAGCCACAGGTTCAGTCCAGTAATGAACTGTAGAGAGCTTGAAACTACCTTATCCTCTCTCATACTTTATTTTATTCTTTTACCTTTCCTTAGAGAACAATTCAGTCTTAATAAAGCACTGGTTGGGTGCACACAGTAGGTGTCTGTGTCATGATACAATGTGGAGCAGCACTCCTCTGGCTCAGGAGCAGGGTGACCATGTAGGGTTTGGCAGGAAAATGGAACTCAAGCAGCGTGAGAAACATATCATCATGGGGATGGGAAATATCATTACTTGGCATGCAGAACCAGAGCTTGAACATAATGTCTGCTCATGGGATGGGCCTGGCACAGAGCACTGGCAATAAAAGTATTGTGGTGGGCAGGATGATTTAGGTGGTGTTAGGATGATGTACAGGTGAGCAAAGGGCATCTGTGTGGTAGATGGTAAGATGGGCTCAACCATGCTGAGGGGGCATCTGTGCCTGAGGTCACTTTCTATGGAAACAAAGAGGTCCAAGTGTGTGAGAAGAGAGTCCTTGTGGAACAGCAACCTATGTGGGGTCTCAGTATCAGAGAGAGGTAAGAACAGCACCCACACATGTAAGGGTCTCCAGTGTAAGCTGGAATTCAGAACCTAAGCAGAGTGAGGAGGTCACCATGCACTGGATTGACCTGATGTGGTAGTGATGTCTTTATGGTACAGGCCCCAGTGTGGACAGCAGCCTTGCTGGGCATGGAGGACCTGGATGGGAAGTCAGATCCTAAGCAGTATGGTAGACTAGCCCTGGTGTGTGTTTCAGAGACTGAGTGAAATAGGGAGGCTCCCCATGCAATGGAAGAACTGTATGTAGGAAAATTAGATTTCAAACATCAAGGTTACTCAAGCCAAATACCTAGAAAGTTTCCCAATGTTTTCAAAGTGTGAAAATTATTATCTCTATAGCTGATTAATGAAACTAAATCTTAAGCCTAACTCATAACAAACTAAAACTTAAAAGTAGTCTAAAATAAATGTTAAGCACAAATCCCAAATCTTATAATGAACTCAAGCCCTAACCATAGTTATAGCTCTAGACCAAACCTAAATTTAACCATAGCACATTTCCTAAATACAAACTCAAAATCTAACTGTAATCACTGCTGTAAAGTTAATTGTAAATCATAATCCTTAAGCCAAACCCCTACCACTACTAATTTAAAACTGAGTTTAGTCCCTAACTATAACCCTAAAGTCTATCCCTGAACCCTAACCCTTCATCCGAATCTTAACCCTAAATCCTAACCAGGACACTAACATAATCTCTTAAATCTAACTTAATGCACTTGCCTGAATCCCTGATCTTTAAAATGTACCGTAAGAAGAGTGGCTGGGTCTGACTACAGGTTTGTCTTCTGTGTTGCTTAACCCAGCTGTGCATGGGGATAATGGAACCAGGTGGGATTTTTGATATTGTGCAAAGCGTGCATGGAAGGAAAACTGAGCAACCCAGGAGGCTTTTGGGGAAATCCTGGGTGAAGAACAGGTCAGTTAAGGGGACCCTAAGAGATGACCTCACTTCCTGAATGATGACATAGAGATCAGAACTCTGTTGCCAGGGGCCCCTATCTAACAGCCAACTGTAGCAAGCTTACTTGTCTGGAGAGCATGGACATAACAGGATGTTTTTGTCTTGTCTCCTGACTTCCCGAGGCTCAGGCCTCAGGAGACCGCACAGAAGAGGCTTTGGCCACATTTGGAGATCACTGGTCTCACTTCGTCCTGGACACCTGTGGCCATTTTCACTGAATCGAAAGGTGACCCATTGTTTCAACTACTCTGTGTGTGTGCTCAGGCCCTCCCTGGTGTGAGTATAGGTGTGTCATTGTGTGCCCATCCACATGTGTGTGTACTGAAAAATCTCTCCATGCCATTTGAACTTTGTTGTTTGACATACCAGTTGGCAGTTTGCTCAGGTTAAGGTTTACATCTAAACTGTCCCCTCTTTTCCCATGTGTTCAAGGTGGGGTTTGGAATGAGATTGGATCCTTCAGGTGGTTCTCATCAGTGGGTTATTATATATGAACTCATAGTTGGAGGTGCTTTCAGGAATGGAGACCTGGTTGGAGAAGGTGGGTCACTGGGGTCCCCTACAAAGTTGTATTCTTGTCCCTGCTCCTCCCTCTCATTCTGCATGGTTGCTATTGTTTGAGCAGCTTTCCTCCACCATGCTCTTCTGACATGCCATTTCCGCCTTGGACTGTTAGCAGTGAAGTAAACACTCCAAAACCGTGAACCAGAGTGAACCCCTTCTAGATTAAGTTTCAGGTGTTGATCCTTTGTTTTCAGTGATAAAAGAGACTAATAGAGCTGCTGTTTCTGTGTCTGAACCTCTGTCCTTGGTCTCACCCCAGGATAGTGCATCGAGCCAAAGCCTGGAAGTGCGTGGCTGTTTGGAAATCCTCTTCGAGGATGCACGCAGGAGCATGGTAAATGACCTAGTGCCTTCTGTGCTTCGTGGGGACATTTGGTTCCTCCACAAGTTTTTCCAAAGCTACAGATCAGTTGGAACCACACAGGAGGTGCTGGAGCTGCTGCTGAAAAGGTGTGTGTCCTACCTCATACGATGGGATGAGGGGTCATCATCTTCTGGCTGGGTCTTTGGAATGTCATGCACAGTCTACTCTGTGGAAACTGAGATGCTCAAAGAAGACCCATGGGTGTTTCCAGGAACAAGGAATCTGAGCCCAGGAAGCACCTTCCCTGGGCCGTTTATGTGTGACCGTCACACACCCTGGGGAGATGCTGATCACATTGGGTCTCACTTACCTGAGGCCTCACACAAAGCAGTCTCCCGATCTGTAAAGGAGGCTCTGCATGGCATCTGGGGGATCCCTGTCCTAGATGTAGAGCAGGAATCCTGGGGGTGATGTGAGGAGCACAGGACCAACTGAGATATCTAGGAAGAAACTGGCTGGGTTCACTGACTGCACACACACAAATGAAGCACATGGTGAAAGAAGGCTCACTTCTGGGCCATTAGCAGAAACCAGGGAAAAGAGCAGGAAAATCCCTTCACTCCTGGGCTCCGTTTCTATCTCAGAGTCAGTCAGTGGCGCAAGATGTCAGGGATAGGGACAGTCCATGTGTTACCAGTCATTCTGGTCTGCATGTTCAGGTTCACCAAGCCAAAGCAGGACAGTAAGTGTTAAGAAACAGAAAGGTCTTGTTTAAAGCCAGCTTCAAGGTGATGGAGGGGCCCTTTCCCTGAAAACACGCTGCCCAGCTGTCTCAAAATTTTTTACAGTAAAGACAGAGGGGACAGGTGTGATAAGGAGCAGTACACATTGCTGTGCTTGCTCCATTGCTCCCAGGCAGCAATGAAACTGGGCCCAGAAATTTTGGGGCCAGGTTTTCCATATTCTGTTCATTCACCTGAGCAGAGGAGAAGAGGGGTGGCATTCAGATTCTAGGTTTAAGGCTGTTCAGAGAGCCCACTTTCTCCTGTAGGAAAGAGTTCTAGCCATCACAGTCCTCTTTTTCCATGCTGGTTATAGATGTGACACCCTCATGAAGTCCTCCCGACACAGCCACATCCTGGCCTGCTTTGGCAAAGGTGGTGAACGCCAGGGCCAGCTAAGAAAGTGAGTGGGCTTTGGTTAAGAAGGGGGCTCCTGTGTCTGACTGGGGTGTAAGGGGCTGTGATGTGGGTGGGTGGAGCAAACCCTGGGTCCAACAATTGTGATTCTGCCAGCAGGGCTGAGGTCTGGGGTCCTGAGGAAGGGGAGGGCAGACCTCTGACACTGCTCTTGCCTGCCTGCCCCCAGTGCCATCTCCACCATCCTGGGCTCCTGGCTGGACACCTATCACCAGGACTTCCATGAGCCTCCGAACTTCCCATGCCTGAAGCAGCTGATGGAGTTTGTGCAGCTGCATTTCCCTGGCTCAGACCTGGAGCACCATGCCCACATTCTCCTGGCCCAGCTGCAGGACCTGGTTCCTACAGAGACTGAGTCAGAGAGTGAGGAAGGCTGGGGGTGGGGAGAGCACATCAGAGCACATGAGGAAGGTCTGGACTGGGCCCATATGGATGACGCTCCTGCCTGCACTGTGCCAGGGAATGGCTCAGAGCAGGCTGATGTTGGGAACCTTTTTTGTAGTTCTGTCATCACTTCTGGAGGAGGAGTCAGCTGTGTCACAGACTCTGGAGATGGAGTCAGACCCAGTGCCACCTGCATCAGCAGAGCCACCGGAGACTTCATCTGTGGTGACAGCAAACAAGGTGAGGGAAGAGAAACCCTACTTCTTGGTGTCCCCTTCTGACTTGATGACGGAGCAGTTAATGCTAAGAAATGCCGCAAATGGGTGAGCTCATCAGAGCAGGGCAAGGGCAGGCTTCCTGCAGGCACCTTCCATCCAGACCTGCTTTCTTTGCTGTGGAGCTTGTGTTCTTGTTCAAATCCTGTTCTACCATTGCATATCATGCAACTGGACACGTTTCTGAGTGCTGATGCCTCTGTTCCCCTCTGGGCAGCAGACTTGGAGCAGGTTCTTTCTCCCCTAGGATAGACATGCAAAAAGCAGTAAAGACAGGCTCTACAGGCCTGGCCCTTGGGGCATGATGCTTAGTGTAGTATCTTTGGGACATTCCTGTCTCCCAAAACACTTCAACAAACTCAGTATTCATTAGACACCTGAAAAGCATGGGAACCTGCAGACCATACCCAATGAAGCCCCCATGCACCCATGCAAATGAACATGGAAACAGACTTAGGTGGAGGCACAAGGTGTGCCTGGTTTCAGAGCCCTGTGCCAAGTTCTTGCATAAACACTAGGCAGAGAAACTGCCTCTCTCTTTTCTTGCTGTCATGCCATCATCCTGCAGTGTAGTATGCAATGAGGATCAGGCCTGCCACGGTGCTGGCTCCACCTCTGGGGTCAGACCTGGTCCTTTCTGTTACCCAGTGTTATGAAACATCCTCTCCTATCCACCATGTCATGGTGGTTGAAGCAGCACTCAGTGTTTCCATGAGTGTTGACTCACAGACCCAACTAACAAAGCTCCAACCCCAGGCCCTGGGCTCTATCCTGGCCTGGGTTACACCTGGTCCCAGGGAGACAAGGAGGCAAAGAACACCTGGATCTCATTGTCTGTACCTCTGTCCTCCAGGTCTACAGTGAGAGTCACGTCCCCTCTTCCCATGGGGACTGCAGGACAACAGCTCTGGACGGGGCCCAGGTAGAACAGCTCTGGACTGATGAGGCTGGGTTGTGCTACAGGAGGTGCCCTAGGACTTCTGATGGCCAGGAAAACAACAAGACCTGCTCTGCTTTCCTTAGTAGCCCCAGGACCCCCTCCACCTTGCATGAAAGAACCCAGGATCCTGAATAGAGCCCCTAAAAGCCCCTGAGCTGGCTGCCATTAGGGGTTGGGGGGGGCTGTAGGGTCATCAACTCTGCTGATAGGTTTGTCCTCCACAGATCAAGGAGCAGGTCCCTCAAGTTGGGCCTCTCTACAACCAGCAGGTGGGTGACTCCTGCATCATCAGGGTCAGCGTGGAGAAAGCCAACGGAAACATGTATAAGAGTATTCTGGTGAGCAGGCAGTAGAGGCTCCTCTGAGGGCCACACCTAGCCAGGGTTCAACACATACTGAACACCATATATGCTTCTGCCCTTCTGGAGTTGCCCTTCTAGTGAGTGAGGACAGCTGGAAAGGAAGAAAATAGTCGACTCCAGCACTCTGTGCCTAAGCTAAGAGGAGAGGAGAGCTGCTTACCTGACCCCAGGAGGTTTTGGGCTGCAGTTAGGGGGGATCCAAGAACTGGGGTGCGGGAGTAGGAACCAGGAGGATATCAGGCAAGGGTTCCTGGGTCATGCTGTGCTGTGAGAACACTGGTTTTTCTCAGAGGGACACAGAACTGCTGGGGGGCAAAGCCACTCAGGGCAGCAGTGACTTTGGGGCTCTCTGTCAGGGAAGAGCTGCTGCCAGAAAGGAAAGGAGGCTCCTTGGGAAGCTGCAGCTAGGAGAGAAGGGTACAAGTAGCGTGATGAACTTGGAGCTGGACAGCAATGTCTGTGTGGGCATCACTTGAACATGGGCCAGCAGGGCTGTTCATACCATCTATGTGTACATGGAGCAGGGCTCCTCCCCTGCCGGTCACTCTCTGGGTGATGAAGAGTCATTTGCAAATGTGACACTATCCACACAGGCCAGGTGCCACCATCTGTGCTCTGGCCCTTGGAGTCCAGGCATCCAGGGTCCAGTCTGTGTCATGCACTGGTGCAGTCTGCAATGAGGATCAGGCCTGCTGTGGTCCTGGCTCCTCCTCTGGGGTCAGACCTGGTCCTTTCTGTTACCCAGTGTTATGAAACATTATTTCTGAGTGCAAGCAGCTTTCCAAGGTGGCATGGAGTTCTGCGTGAGCTGCTGTAGGCAAAGGGGCTGGGGATGTGTGGGATGAAGCCCTGCACATTAAATGGGGAGCAGGAGAAGGGAAGAGGCCCCTAAACCCAGGAGAGCCTCTCGGCTCAGTGCTGCAGCACCATGGAGAATCCTTGCTACTGCACCCTGGGGGAGCTATAGGAGAGCCTGCTCTGAGGGACTGTCCCTCCCTTAATCCAGGTGACCTGCAATGATCGGACTTCCACTGTCATCCGGAAGGCTATGGAGAAGCACTTCATAGATGATGACCCTAAATATTATGAGCTTCTGCAGACTGTTTCTGACAGAGAGAGTAAGTCAGAGTGTGGCCAGGATGATGGTGGAGTGACAGGATTAGCACTGCCCCCAGCCACAGGCCTGTAGCCCCTGGCTCTGTGCAGAAAGTCAGCAGGCACAACACACAAAGCCTCCTGCCAGAAAGGCTCTTGACCCCCTTTTAATCCATTGTTCTCCCAGGAGCTCCTGGTCCTCTCTGCTCCTTTGTCCTCTGCTGGGTGTTAACTTACAGGTCAAAGCCAATTCAGTGAGAAGAGCCAAGGGTTGTCCCAGGGGGCAGGGTGGCCACATGGTCCCAGAAAGGAATGCCTGCTTGCTAAGAGGAAAACATGTTTCTGAAAGAATGGGTGCTGCCATGGACTGAAGCATTCTGTGTGAAATACAAGTCTGAGACAGGAGAGGTACCCATTTTAGAAACCAACTCAATGTGTTAGAACTGGGAGGGAGACAGAACCCAGAACAAGCACAGGCTCCAAGACACTGGGCAGGTTCCCAGCCCTCTGCTCTTCCATCCTCCTCCCCTGAAGGAGAGCAGAATGACCAGCGGTTCACCCACCGACAGAGAAGCACATTCTATATCTGTGCAAGTGTTGTCAATGCAGTGTGTTCTTTCCAGTGTGGCTGGATGCACACAGCTGCCATTAGTGCAGACTATCAGTAGGGACAACCAGCATCACTAGAATTATATCATAAATGGTCTTGAATCTTCCTGTACCACTGTGGTTAAGCAGACATGGTAGGAGGCTCCTGTTGCAGAAAATCAACACTGAGTCTTGGGGAGATTCAAGTGGAGACAGAGCTGCCCAAGTCCTCTCAGCACTGGCTGACAGCTCACTCTAGGCCAGAGGAGAGGGGTGGGGAAGAGTCCAGAGGAAGGACTTTTTGGAACCTAAGATAAACAGGATGTGGAGGCCCCCTGAGGCCTGCCCCAGGAAACCTGTGGTGGGGCCTGCTCCTAGGCAGAGCTTTCCAGAGTCCCAGGCAGCATTCAGCGGGTGCCTTGGGCTCTGGAAAGCCTACTTCTAGAGTCCTGACCAGTAAAGACCTACAGTCCTCATGACAGAGTGAGCCTTTTCCATTTCCAGGCTGAGCTGGGACATTCTGGGTCCAAAACCCCTTTCAAATGAGAAGTCCTTGTGTTGTATCAGGTCTACCACACAGTCAGTCCTCAGGAGGTGTCCTAGATGGAGCTGGAGCTGGACTAGAGGGCTTGCAGGTCTTTCCTGGAGGAAGATTTCCAGAGCTGGGGGTGCTTGGAAGGATCTCCCATGAGCACCGTTGACCAGCTCTCTGCTCAACCCCACAGTGATAAAGATCCCCGAAGACAGCAATATCTTTTATGCCATGAAGTCCAACGGCCTGTATAACTTCATCCTAAAACAGCGGACATTCCTCAGCTGGCTGGATGTCAGTTATGGAGCCTTGCCCATCCTTCGTCACTGGAAGGAAAGAGGACTTAAAGCTTTTTAAAGGCACACAATAAAGTCATCATGGTGGTATCTGGCTGGATGAGAATGATCCAGGTTCCCAGGTTCCCATCTGCTTACCTGGAAGCCCAGGGCACTCCACACTCAGGTATCACCCCAAACTTTCCTACCCTTGAGTCAGTAACTATCACTTAGCAGGTTCACCCAGTCTCTGAAAATAGATGTTTCTCCATTGTTTCCCATAGTTAGGTTTTAAAAATTTAATTTTCTGTTGTGTGAAACCAAGCTGGGAAATTTACTTACATTATCTACACATAAACACATACCTGAAACTATTACACTCAAATTTCCCCTTGGGATCAGGATTTTCTTTTAGCCTTTTCCATAAGCAAGCAGATTGGAATCTAGTACTCTTCCTCCTGGGGCCAGGACAGTTTCATGCTCAAAAACATTGAGAAGCACAAGTTCTGTGTGCAGTGCATCTTCTGGGTTGGAGAAAAAAAAAAAAAAAAAACAGGAGAAAAGAGAAGCATGACTGATTCTTGATCTGGAAGAGGACAGGAGATTCCATGTGATGGGGACAGTCCTACAGAATCTATCAGTGAGATCATATCTGCTACTATAGACTCTTCATACCAGTGACAAATTTTCTCTGTGAACATTTAACCAGGGACAAGGCAGCAGGGCTGGAGCAGCTCAGGGCTGTAATGGAGTTTAATGTGGTCAGCAATTCCCTTAACCAGAAACCAAAGCACTGGATCCTGCTGGGGCTGGTAGGTCTTCAGAATGTGTTCTCTCATCAGCCTCCCCGAGTGCCAAAAGAATATATCACAGGGCTCGTCTGCAACCTGAAGCACAAAACCCTTGCTTTAATTAAATAGGGCTGTGTCACTGGTGGCGGATCTTTCCATATGTTCCCGTCCCAAGTGTCTCCATAGGCAAATCCATGCCCATGCACAGCATCATATGATTCCTGCTATCTGGCCAGCTGACCTTTCTAGCACCTTCTTCTACTCCCTATGAAGAACCTGTGTTCCTTCCCTCCTGCAAAGAGCTGGGGTCACCATGCCTTTGTTTAGTGTGTGTCACCTTCAGTTGCACCAGATCTGGTGTTCACTGCTGTATTCTGCACTTTCAAGTCCGTTTCCAGTGACCACATCACTAGGTTGCTACTCAGAAGCCTCCTACTCTTCTCCAAGGTGCCAGTCCTGGGGCAGTGCTGGTCCACACAGCAGAGCAGAGATTGAAGTCTTTGGAGTTTCCTCACAGACCAGTGAGAGACCTCAGGCACTGGCTCCTGTCCTCAAGCCTTGTACTGTCTCTCTCACAGAGGTATAGTCACTGAACCAGGTCAGATGGCTGTCATGATGCCTAAGTGCCTAGGTGGCACGTGAAGAAGTAGCCAGGCCCCTCTCCTCCCTGTCATCAGCATCCACATTAGGTGACAGGAGCCACATGGCATTATATAGTGTTATCCATACAACCAGGTCTTGAGCCAAATTGACTGCAAGTCCTGCGAGCTTCAGTTATCTGTCAGGACTGAAGCCCCTGTGTCTTCACTGAATACCTATTTCCAGGACTAGAGGCTCCTATGACCAAAAGTCACCCAATTTTCCAAAGGTGGGCAGAGGAGGGACTGAGATGGGCGAGCACACAGCACACTACCTATCTTCACTGTCACAACGTATACCAGGCAAATTGCTCCATAGCCCACACTGACCTGACTTGAGGTCAGTGGCAGCTGGAAGGGCAAAGTGAGGGGACAGGAAGCAAGGCTGGTCCCCCCGCCCCGTATCACCTTCCCCCTACCTCTGTCCTGCAGCCAGCCTCATCCTCACTCTCACTCAGGGCTCAGGGAGTCATCTGAGGCCCTGTCCTGCCACTTCTGCTTGCCCAAATCCTGGGCTATGTCCCACCCCCAGGAAGCACCTGGCAGGGCAGGCAGGGCATGTTTCAGACCTTGGGGTCACCTGAGCCTGGTAGAAGTGGCCAAAACCAGGTATGAAGCCACCATCCTGCACAGCTGGCGAGCTGCTGACTGGGCTGCTGCTGGCCACAGCTCAGGGCACCCAGCATGAATGGAAGGGTCACACAAGGGCCTTTTCCTTAAAGGGAAAAGAAGGTGTGTACTTGGCTCAGGACACTGACCACCCCAGGCTTTGACCCATATGTAACTGACTAGCGCTTCAGGTGCTTCCAAGGAGCCCCTCATAAACTCCCAGTCCCAAACTTTCCCTTGGGGCAATCACAACATGTTTCATTTCTTTGTGGAAGTCATCCCACTCTGTTCCTCTGTGATGTTGGACTAAACTCAATCTCCAGCTTGGACTGAAGCTCCCCTTGTTTGAGTCCTCAGAACCCAGGACCAAGACTGCACCTCTCACTCAGCAGGTGCTCGACAGGTGCCCGCTGAATCACGTGTGAAATAAGCTGCATGACTAACCTCCTTGGGTTAGAGACCTGAGTGGGGAAACAAGAGATCCAGGAACCTGTTTCAGGGCTGTAATCTCCCTACAGTGTCTGCTGCCCTCTACAGAGATTGACTTACTCAAGGGAACCCCATGTACCACACACTCATCCTGCTCATCTGCACATGACGTACATGTCTGTGTTTAGGGATACCCACACAGACTGCTCTCAGCTCCTAGTTCAGGTGACATTTGAAGTCACTGTAGAGTTCAAGAGTCAGTGGCTGGAAAAGTAGATACAGGTAAGTTCACTGACTTAAGTTTCTTCCACTTAAAAGTGAATGCCTTCCTTTCTGTACAAACTTCACAATATTATTATGGCAGATGTGGCCCACCTGGCACCTCCTTCATCAACATCCATGCAGGGGGCATGCACTTCAGTCATGACTTGGAGCCAAGTATGGGTGAGATAATTCAGACATAGGCTTTGCTCTCGGGGCTTCCACATCCAGGAGGGGGGGTGTATGAGAAGATAGGCAGCATACCTGGGCAGACTGAGTGGCAGTCCAGGCAGACTTCCTGGAGGAGGCAGGTTTGGGCCTAGTTTTCAAGTCTGTATGCAGAGAAGAGGCAAAAGGTGCCAGTCTTCCATCCCTGAGTTCCCAAGAGGTGGGAGACTTATGACTACAGAGGTGTATGCTTCTGTTGCAGGTTGTCCTGTAGCAGAAAGACATCTGGATAAGAAGAGAGAGAGGCCTCCTCCAAAGTTCCAATCAGAAAACTGCTGGCCCTTCATCCTTAGGTGTATGGCTAGTGATTCACAAGCTGGAAGGGACAGCAGGAGTTGCTGTGGGATAGGGTGGGGATGGCCTGTTCTCCCCTTTCCTCTACGGGCTTTCTAAGGAGCCCTAGAGGGTTCAGGGGGCTATGGCATCAGGGCACTCGGACCCCGAGAGCAGACTCAGTCTGCTAAATGCTGACATTCACTTTCCAACTCTGCCTGTCCAAGCACAGAGTGGTTCCTCCAAACCACCAGCAGCAGGTGTCACACACACTAAGATTTAAACCTCGCTGACAGTCTTGGATCTGAGGGCAAGGCCAGTGGAGGAAGCAGAGCTCCAGCCAGCACTGTCAGTAACAGGAACAGGCTGTTTCCCAGACTCCTGCTCAGGGCCACGTGGAGCAGCGGGCAGGGTCCTCAGCGAGTCCCTGACTCAGCACCCTGCCTCTGCCCACCTCACTGATGAGGAACATCGTGCTCAGGAAATTTAAAGACGTCACCAAGACCCCGTGACTGTAAGGACTGGAGCTGCTCCTTTGGCCTGCAGCCTCCATGCAGCTGCCCAGTTCAGTCCCTTTCCTTTGTGCCTTTCCTGCTTCTCATGAGGTCTGCTGTCTCCTAGCAGCTGCTGGGGGTAAGTGGGATGCTTGGCACCACATCCCTTCCCTGCACTGCCCTTCTCCTCTGGGAAGCGACCCCTGCTCTGCTTGACAGAAGCCCCACAGCACAGGCAGAACTCAGCCTGCAAGCAAGGCTGCTGCCCTGTCTGTCCACATCCAGGACACGACGTCCCTTTGCTTAAGGACACAGCAGGCAGCACTCTGGGGAAAAGGTGTGTTTTCTTCATTCTACCATAGAAGGTGGGGATATTGGCTAGGCATTTGCTCCTTATCACAGCCGTGGGTGCACGGGGATGGTTCTTATGTCACTCAGTCCCCAGCAAGGCCCAGAGAGACAGACTGGGGTGAGAGTAAGAGCACTGGCTAAGGAACTAGGCTATTGAGTAAGCTTCTGACTTCTGTTTCTCCTTGCTGTGTGACCTGAAGCAGGTTACTCAACCTTTCTGGGCTTCAGTTCCTCAATTACCAAAGAGAACATGAACATGCAGAAGGCTTGGTGCACACCAGCCATACTGTGGGAAAACTCAGTTCTAGGGGTGCTGGCCTGACCCTCACAGGGTGAGGTGCTAACAGCAGAGCTGGGCTCACCCTGTTCTGGCTCAGCAAAAACCACTTTCTACTGGCTGTGGCCTCTTAAACACAAGACAGACTGAATCTTTTATCCAGTGCTGACTAGAGACAGCACAGAAAGACTAGTTAAAAAGGAGACCTGGATCAAAGATTGGTGAAAGGAGCTACAGCATTAGAAACTCACACAAAATCCTGATTGCAACTCATCCCTGAAAATGTCCCAAGTAGTTTTCTTCTAGGCCCAGTGGCCCACGTTCTGTACCAGGGTAATGAAAACTTCAGTCTCCACAAGTCAGACCTTCACGCCCCTCATGACTCAACACGGTACCCAAGTGTCCTCCTTCTCCTTCGTCCTGATACAGACTTCCCATCCCTTTCCTGGGATGTGGCTAACCCAGGATCCATTCTTGCCAAAGAAGTGCTCCAGAGAAGCAGAGACGGATAAAGGTCCAGCTTGGGCTTAACCTTGCTGCAAACACAAAGCAGGAAGACACAACAACTCCCTGGAAAGGAGGTGTGGCTGAAGGGGGTCTGTGAGTGATGAAGAGCCACCAGGCACTGGCAGGGCACAGGGAGGCAACATGGTGTCACATATGGCTGGCTGTGATACCACCATCACTTGCGGTTGGAGGAAGTCCCTTTAGGGAAACTCTGAGGAAGCCTCATAGGTCCAGCAAAAGGCTGGAGTGGCTTACACTGAAGCACTATGCTGGCTTCCACATATCACTTCTATCTGTATCCGCAGTGCTACCTGCGCCTGCCAAATTCTGTGCAAGAAATTATCCCACAGCACAGGGGAGGAACAGTGTTCACTACATGGGATGACTTTAGCTTCATTCAGCTCCGTGGAAAATGGAACACCAGACTTTTGGCTCTAGCTGCCTTCCTGGGACCTGAGTCTCAGGACAGGAGAGGTAAGCAGGGCTTCCATGCAGATTCCAGTAAGAAGTGACAGTCCCGCTCCCACAGCAGGAAGGCATGACTTAGCCCCGCTGCATCTCCTGGGTGTCAGTGTCTCAAAAATCCAAATGTCAAGACACTGAACACTTTTCTCCCCATTTCCATGATGACAGAATTCCAATACCAGAAATCAGGAGCTTGAGCCTAGCTGGGCCACTCCAGTTGCACTGATAGACTGGATACAGGATAAGGGACAGAAAGAGGCTTGTCTCACTCTCTCCAGACCTTGTTGCATTTGCTGTCTTATGCTGCCATGAACTGTTGTTGTCTGTTGTAAGGCACCACCCTGCCTTGGAGCCAGCTGCTTATGGACTGAAACCTCCGCAAACTGTGAGCTAAATAACCCTTTCCCCCTTTAACTTTGCTTGTCATGTATTTTGCTCAGCAAAGAGAACAGTAACTGATAATACATAATATTAATTATATGATATCAAGTTATATGCAGGTATAAAATATTCACATTATATCAAAATCCAAAGAAACACATGCCTACGATTTTAAAACACCAACTTGTAATACATTTACATAGTTTCATAATGCTTTAAAGAGAATTACTGTCCTGCATATATGGGCTATTAACTACATAATTCTTTGACATTTTTACTTCATCCTGTATTCACTATCATGCAAGATTTTCATGCTGTGTAGCTTTCTATTATTTTGAAATAAACAGATTTTAATAATAACTATGAATGATTACGAACTTATTTAGTTAGGTTGTGTATTTTAGTTATTTCCATAAACTTTTAAATAAATTATATTTTATAGATTTAAAATTTTCATAGCTTTCTACATTTGTAATGTTAAAGTCTTAGTCTAGATCAATTATGGTGAACCTTTGTCAGTTTTCAATGATACAAATAGCACTACATGGCACATGGGGTATTGTTTCACCACCACTGGCCTGGATGTAATTTTTTGTTGTTAAACTAACATTTTATTGCTGTTGAGATTGAAAATCATAGTATTCAAACTCCTAATTATTTTAATGATTCTTTTCTTTATGGATCACTAATATTTCATTTAACATTAGAATAGTATGATGCATTTATGTTTTGAAATAATTTTGTCTTCTTTTTACATATTACAGATAGTTTTGATTATTTTTTAAAATGCATTAAATTTCTTTTCAATATATTACTTGTTTTGACAAAAAATGTCCAGAACACATGAAACATAACGCACTGAACACACTTACATTTATCACTGAACCAGGAAATAATTTTTCTCAATCCCTCTTTTCTAGTTATATTTTCCTCTTCTTTTCCACCTATTTGCTGCTGTCTCCAAAGGTGATGTCTTTAAGAAAAAGAAACTTGAGGTGATGCATTTCCAATATGAAACCAGTTAAACTCTGAGGAGAAAGTTACTGCCAGTTTTCTAACTGCCTGCCAAAGTCATGGCTTTGGAGGGGCTCTGGCTATGCAGGACCTTGGGGAAAGATAAAAAATAGCTAGAAAACCTTTCTAGAACGCGAGTAGGAGTAAGGAAAGGGAGAAGAAAAGCATTTTCTAGCTAAAGTTAAGTAGAATAGTAATGAATTGCAAGTCACCTGAAAGCACTACAAGGAATTGGGCTTCTCAGAAAGTCCCAGGGTCAGGAACACACAGCGCTGTGAAGAAATCCAAATTCAAATTGGAAGAGGAACTGGGGAACTGAGGAAGTGATGAAAAGATGAGTCACATCTGGTGGGGAAAGACTGTGTCTCCCCGGGTGCTGGGCCAGTGAGGAACAGAAGGAAGGGAAGGGAGCATCTGCTTGCTGGGTTTCAAGGCTCCTGTCCCTAACTCGGGTTGCAAGACTGACTGCATGAAAACTGAGCTTGCCTTCCCTCTTCTTTCTGCCTCTCAGCCCAGTCTTTGGGTCTGGCGAAATGAATGCATTTCTCACAAATCTGTGTTCTGCATCAGACATTTGTCATGAATGGACTTTCTAAATAGGTAGATAAATTTTGTACCATTTAGTTCTGCTTGTTTTCAAGCAATGTAAGATAATAAACTGCGTTTACTATTTTGGCTTTTGGTTTTACTTTTCAATGTTATATTCCTAAATTTTATTTCTGCTGCAGTTGCTATGATTGATTGTTTTCACTCATGTCAAATATCTCCTCTTTCATAAGCATTCTCCATGGATGAACCTGTACTCCGTCAGCAGACCCGCGAATTCCCCATTACTGATTCCCCACGCGCTGCATGCGCTCCGGGTGTTGTGCACCGGGCCGCGCGGGAGGCTGTGGAAGCAGCAGGCGGAGGACGCAGATGTCTGCAGTCTCGGATAGGAGGCTGCCCAGTCCCGCAGCAGTGCCACCTCCCCGAGCCTGGCCGCAGGGTCCGGAGCGTGGGCGGTGCTTCGTCCTCGGCCGCCTGGAACTGGCTGCTCCGGCAAAGCGCAGCTCCGGTCTCCAGGGGGCGCCCTTGCGGCAGCCACCGCCAGACCGGTGCAGACCCTGAGCCATCTGCGAGCGTTTCCGGCCTCTCCGCCTGGTCCCCACAGGCCAGCAACTCCGAAAACTGAACTCAGGGCCCTTGCATTGCACTGCACCCTCCGTCTTCCTTCTTTCCTAGGCTGGGATTTGCAATCCTCTTCCCTCAGATTCTGAGTACTGGGATTAAACGGGTTTAAATGTGGTTTCCTTTATTTCCATCCTATCAATGTAAAGCAGCTGCTGTGGCCCACCTCCTGTAGGAAGGGCTTCGGTAAAACAGGAGCTCCTCCCAAATGGAAGGAAGCTGCCGTGAGTGGGAGACGAAGGCGCCGAAGAGCTAAGTGGCAAGTGATGAGGATGTGACTGTACTAGGGCTTTTTCCTGTTATGCCCAAGGCACAACGGCTGATGCTGTGAGGAATAAGGAAGAGTTTGCACTGTGCATAACCTGGGCAAACAATTTAAATGTATAGATCTATGTTGAGAGAAAAACGTACATTTCATAATAGATTCTATTAATTCTTTATTGTTTTTACTATTAAAATCGATTTTCTTATGTAGCCGACTGTAGTATGTTCAGTAATTTCACTTCCTGTTTTCCTCTCTGGACAGCAATTAGCTAAAACATGAAGTCTTGGCCATCAGAACATAAGCGGATTGTAGTTAGTTTCACAGACTTCTGGTTCTATTCACAGATTTTTCAGTTACAGGAAGTTTTGTCAAGACAACCAGAAATTAATGGATCCAGAGAAGAAAAAAACTAAATGTGTGTGTGTGATTTAAATTGTTACCAGCATAAAACAAACTCATAACTATAAAATATGTTATCTAACCCTTATGGCAATCAGAAGAAACAACCTTGTAATGGCTATATACAAGGTAAAGAAAAATATCAAAGACTGCCACTATATCAGTATAAATTCATTAAATTAATATAAATTTATTACTAAATTAGTAATTACTAAATTAGTTATAAATTTATACTAAATTTATAGCAGAAATTTTGTAAATAAAGCTCCAAATTGTTATTTTGAACTTAAAAATACAACGAAGTCAACCAGAAAGGTTTTGATGGCTAGTGCAGATGTATATTCTATAGAATAATTGATGTATAAAGCTACAGCTAATTTTGTGATGTATATAATGTGAATTAACTAACAGCCAGAGGAACTATGTGGAATAACCTGCAATTAATTATTGAACAGTGCCACTAAATACACACAATACCAAATAGCTGCAGCTTAGAAAGATTCCTCCTGTGGAGAATTGGGAATCATGTTTGTTGAAGGAGACCCACACTGGCCAAGACTGATACTGTTAAAATCTTGCTCTCTGTCCCATTTTTATCTTAAAAAGACATTTTAATGAATTTATGACGGTTTTGCAAAAAGGGTACATTTTTAATGACTTTGGGGAAAATATTCACTTATGAAACCACTGCCACTGTCAAGGCCAGGAGCAAACATCACTTCTCTAAGTTTCCTTGCTGCTTACTTTAATTTTTTTTTGTAATAACCCTTAACAAGTTGTACCATTTTAGCAATTTTTAGGTATGCAAGGCAGTACTGGTAATTTGTCATCATATAATTACTTTCTTGGTTGCTTTTCACGATTTTGGATCGGAAGTCTAGGGCTGGGTATTTAACTCAATGGCATAAGCACCTGCCTTGCAAGTGTACCATGGTGAGTTCAATCCCGGGAACCAAAAAAAAAAAAAAAAAAAAAGTCTCTCAAGTCTGAGATAAATGTAGCTGCCCCTGCTCTCTGTTGGCTACTGGTGACACGGGATATCATTTTTATCTCTATTTTAGGACTAAATGTGTCATTAATGCTAAAATGAGTCTCATGTAGAAAGCATATTGTTGAATTTGGTTTTAAGTAATCCATTCTGCTACTCTATGTGTTTTACTGGATGACAACACATTTACATACTTGTCTTTTTCTGGGGGATGATGTGCTGTGGATTGAACCCCGGTCCTGTGCTTGCCAGATAAATGTGCTTGCCTGGTTTTCCATTTGCAGTTAATATAAACATTTAAAGTAATTATTGATATATATATATATATATATAAGGACTTCCTACTACTATTAAGTTAATAATTTTCACTATTTGTTGGAGCCTTGCACACTACATTTTGTGTTCTGATATAGTGGCAGTCTTTGATATTTTTCTTTACCTTGTATATAGCCATTACAAGTTTGTTTCTTCTGATTGCCATAAGGGTTAGATAACATATATTATAGTTGTGAGTTTGTTTTATGCTGATAACAATTTAAATCACACACACATTTAGTTTTGTTCTTCTCTCCACTTTTTGTGTTACTGATATCAAAAGATACATCTGGACAAAGTTCTAGAGTCTGAGTTTTGACCAATATTTAAGCTGGCTTGTTGTTTTACCTCCATTTTAGATGGCTCATATTGAGAACTAAGACTTGTGGTTGAAAGCACCTGCTCTGTGGGGAGAATAGAGTTGAGTCCAAACACAATAGAAGCCATTAGCACAGTAACTGGGAACAAGCTGTTGGTGCTGAGGGTGCCAATGGCTGGGCTGTGGAAAAGAGCTTTATTTCACTGTTTATCCCATGTTTTACTTTGATTTGATGCAGTCTTTGGGACTGCAGAAATTCTAGGTAGAAAATTCATAGTTGTATTCATCAAAAGTATATGTGTGGGCAGGTGTGGTGGCATGCGCTCATAATCCCAGCACTCTGGCAGGCTGAAGCAGGTGGATCACAAGTTTGAGCCCAGCGTGGGGATTCTAGTGACTTGGTGAGACCCTGACTCAAAACTAAGAAATAAAAATGAGGATGTGAGTGCCTGTAAGGACCCTGGGTTCAATTCTCAGTACTGCTAAAAACAGTGTCTGTGTTTCCCTTACATAAGACCTATGTCTACATATTTGTATCAGATAAAGTACTTCTCCTTGAGAAACAGAACCAAGTCCTGAAGTAATTTGAAATATAAAAATTGATACTCAATTTTTTGCCCTCAGGGATTATTTTTGCATGTTTTCTATCATATTATGTTGTTAATGATCCTTCTTGACAGTTTATTACTTCTGATACTTACTTACACTTGAGTGGTGCCAAAAATATGTGATCTAGCCAAAATTACTGTTAGTAGATACCAGCGTATATTATGTTCAGCCATTTGTTTTCCTGTTTTGTCTTTTCTACCATACACATATTTCCCTCTGTTACTTATTTGTACTTTTTTTTTGTCTTTTTCCTTTTTATTGGTACCAGGGATCCAACTCATGACTGCCTGCCTGCAAGGCAGGCGCTTATGCCCCTGAGCTAAATCCCCAGCCCTTATGGCTGAAAATTAAAATATATCTTGATATTTGTAACATATCACCATTTCATATTTAAAGATATAAGGAAATTTGTTTATTATTTGTGGATCATTATTTTACTTTACTATCATTACACAGGAGAACTGTGTATTATTTGCTCTAGAGTTTGAGAACAGGCCATAGCTTTTAGAGCATATGTCAGGTAATACATATGTGGAAAAATCATAGGACAGTGAGATTTATCACTTACAGTTGTTATCCCTTAGCCACAAGCTCAGTTGCATCTTCCTAGTGTATATGAGAAAGAATATATTAAAAAACATTATTAAAGTTTTTAAAGTCTCTTCTTGTATCTTGTACTTGTTTACTTGCAAGATTTATCTGGGAACCAAAAAGTTACATCCTGCAAAAAATGGTTTCTCACCGTATATTTAACCAAGTCATCATTTTCTAAAGAAGATTTCCTATAGGCAAATGGAAAAAAGGAGACAAAAGGTTATACAGAGAACAGAGGGAGATATGAGAATGTAAAAGATAAGGAAGAAAATTGAGTATTTCCTATTGCATGTCAAGAATGACATCAGTAAATAAGATCATGAAGACCAAGTACCTAAAATGTTTCTTGCAATCAGGAAGTTCTCAACGATATCACTACAACTCACGTATGACGTATAGGCCTAAATTTCCCATAATAGTCAAAGCTAGTTAAATTTCTTACTTTACAATAAAAATATAAATTATAAAGAATATGTGAAAGGCAGGAATAATTGGAGGAGGA